TTTCAAGGGTTACAGATTAGAATGGGAGTTATTATTCCCTTAAACCTCTGGGGACTATTTGATTTCTCAAAGGAAGGGATTTAGTGCAGTCATCTAGACAGGCTCTTTTCCTAGACTGAGGTCACACCAGAGGTGCCATTGTTTGGATAAACAGTATATTATCTTGTAAAACTGGTCTGGTATCTTAAATCTCAGTAGACAGACTTCTTTCTAGTGGGAAAATGGTCCATTTTGCTAAGCTATGACATATATATAAATTATATAAGTATATATATTATATTTTACATAATATATAAATTATGTAAACACATATTTATTTTATATTAATATGTTTATATTTTTATAATATGTAAATTACATAAATACCTATTTATATTTTATATTATATGTATGTATGTATGTGTGTATGTATTATAAATCAATACATGACCTCTCTCTCTCTCTCTCTCAAAATGCTGGGGGAAAGGACTGATTTCTTGATTCATACTTTCCCCTACCACCTCTACCATCTTGCCTGAAATGTGGACTCACCTACACATCAGTTCCTACTCCATTGCTCATTTAGAGTCTATACATATTTTTCCTGAATCACACATCTTGGCTCACTGCTGTGTGAGTCACGTCAGCAGAGTCTTCCTCCCCAGCCCTTCCCCTTTTCTTGTTTGAGTGGAGATGAGGCATTCCTTTGCCTTTCATTCCAATGCAGTAGTACAGGTTCTCAGGCTCGCTGACTCCTCGAACTCCAAGCTTCAAGGGCAAGACACATGTTACCTCTGAAATTTGCCCAATTCTTCTCTTAAAGTTTAATATCTTGTGTAGCTTGTGGACCTACTTCTTCCTCAACTCATATTTAGCAGTTCGTGGTCACTGGAAACGATTCTTTTCAACCAGGGCCTCTCAGAGAGTTAACAGAAGATGCTTGTTTACTTACTGTGTATTAGCTGGAGGCTTCTGGGCACAGACAGGTTACTCTACAGTTTCCAGCGATACCAAAGAAAGAACAAAACCTACTGACACCAGCTGTCATTTTCTATGTTATCCCGATGGTGGGAATATGAATTAGCACATAGTACAAACAAGGCGGGAGCCCAAAATGATAATATAGAGTTAATCCCTTAGGCATAAGGAAGAAATTAATGGAGAAGTAGAAAGGATGTATCATGTTAATATAGCACAGAAAAATTAAAATGATTTTTTAAATGGAACTATCTCTTCCTCAAGAGCTAATATTTTATTTGGCATTCCAGAAATGTCCAGGAAATTTGTGTAGTATATTTTCCTGCATATGTTTTCTAGTGCTTTATTTTCTCTGGTTTAATGACAATTTCCTTGGTGCCTACTGCTAGGACTTATCTCCATCTTCAATATAGTTTTTCTTTTTTAAACCTACATATTGCTATTTTCTTTGATCCTGTATTAATTGAGAATTTTTCATCAATAAAGAAGTTTCCTCCTCCTCACTGCCTGAACTCTACCGACTGGGACAAAGGTAAAAATCCATAGGACAGCTAGTTCTTGTATGTGCATTCTGGAAGCACAGAGGCTTGCCAGCAGTGTATGGTACATAGATACTTGCAAAAACAGTAAAGAAATATGGTTTGCTAACAAAAGATGGTGATCAGAAGGTTACAAATATATTCAGTTGAAGAACTGTCCCAATGAATTATTCTTTTAATTTTTTCCAGTAGCGAAAGAAGTAACTTGAGAAAAATTTCTGATTCCGTAGGTCTGGCGTGGTATATTAGTCCATTTTCTGCTGCTCATAACAGAATACCTAAGATTAGGTAATGTATAAAGAAAAGAGGTTTATTTCTTTCTGTTTTGGAGGCCAGGAAGTCCAGGGTTCAGGGAGAACATCTGGCGAAGGCCTTCTTTTTGGTCAAGGCTTTGCGAGGAGTACTGTGGCAACGTGGGGTATCGCATGGTGAGAATGGCAAGAGCACTTTCATGTGCTCTCTGTATAAAGCCACCAGTCTATGCCCATGGTTACCCATCACAACATTAATTCATTACTCCATGAATCGATCGATCCGTTCAGGAGGGCAGAGTCCTCTCGATCCAATCACCTCTTAAAGGTCTCACCTTTCAAATACCATAATTGGATTTCCTACCCTCTTAACACTGTTACTGTTGGGGATCAACTTTCCGACACATAAACTTTTGGGGGAACACATTCAACCCATAGATGGGGATCAAGAATCTGCATTTTTAACAAGTTTTCAGATGCTAATGCTGCTAGTTCAGGGTCTACACTATGAGAACCACTGACTATTTCAAGGGTCACAGAGAAAATACGCTGTACGAGCCATCACACATTTCACACTCTTCAGAGGCACCTGCCACTTTTGTATCTGCTTTTCATCAGTATGGGAGAAAAAAAAGAAAGTATAAAACAACATTAAAAGCACGCACTTAGGGGAGTAGACTGGCAAAGGAGAATGGCCTGGTAAGGGCTTGGAAGTTTATATTCTTATTCATATGGGGGCGGGGATGGAGTGTGATTTAACTTTTAGTTTCAAAAGATAAAGCAGCAGTTCTCCATCCTCATTGTGTTTCAGAATCACCAGAGTGCCCCCAGAGATTTGAATCAGTGGGTTTTTGGACAGAATCCAGGAGTCTGCATGTTTATCCAGTATCCTGGATAATTTTGAAGGAGATTTACTAAGGATTACACCGTAATAATGATTTTAGAAGAATAAGGTAGAAATCCAGGTGGTGACTTAATCCTTCATGGGGAAGAAATCGAAGATGCTATCAAGTATTTTATTTTTAAGAGCTGTACATAGAAGGTCAGGCACTAGAACAGAGTACAGGGGTTTATTTAATTATTTTTAAAAGCAATGGCAAGGAAAGAAGCAGAACAGAGACTGACATTGAAGACAATGAGCTGGAGACCAAATGAGCGATCATTTAAGAGGTGATATGCTTTTTATTTGTGTGCTCAAGACCAAACACAACAAGTAAGCAATCTGGAGGAGGCAGTGCCTTTTACTTGAAAACAGAGACCTAGCAGAGAGGAGTTTTCCTTTCAAAAGCAAATTGTGAAAAGACAAAAAATGTAGGAGTAAATGGCAGAAGGAGACCAGGTGGCAAACTGAGGCAGCAGAGCAGGTAGTGAAAGTGGAGGTCACTGGGTGTTAAAGACATGTCATCAGCAAGAAAGATTCCAGCAGAAAAAGGGCACGAAATACTGCAAGTGCGGCAATGCAGACCTGGGGAGTAAAACTACCTATACTTGGTCTACTCAGTCATTAAAAAGAATAGAAAAAAAATACTACTTTATATGCGTGTTTATGTATGAGTGTGTGTGAGTGTGTGTGAATGTGTGTGTGTGTTTGTGTGTGTGTGTCAGAGAGAGAGAGACACACACACGGACGGAGGGAGGGAGGGGGAAGGGGGAAAGAGAGAGAGAGAGAGGGAGAGAGGGAGAGAGAGAGGGGGGGAGAGAGAGAGAGAGAGGGAGGGAGGGAGGGAGAGAGAGAACAAGTAAAGACATCAGGCCAAAGATTTCTGTTTGGACATTATGAGTGTGTCTGAATATTCGATTTTTTGATCAGGCATTAGGAATGTCAAGGAGCTAATCTCTCCAAACATGCTCTCTTGTATAAATAACAGAAATAAAGATGAAAACCCTTGAAAGATCAGCCTTTAGAAAGAAAATGAAAAAAGAAATAATATTCATAGATTGAGAAAACCTTCTCCTGTCTCTGGCGCAACATAGCATAATCTTGTTTATGGTCTTGCTGTGGGCATACATATGTGTATATACAAGATCTGAGTTTACAAGTACTTTATTACATCATTTAGTTCCCCACAAATTGCAATGATCATTTGATTTCAAATTCTTACTTTAAGTGTTTCTTCATGTGAAATACCTTTCTTTTTCCTTCCCTAACTGAATTCTAGCTTCAAAACCCTAAGATTTTCCCCTGGGTCTTCCTAAGTTCAGTGAATTTAAGTCATAGGCAAGGACTACATTCTATGCATCTCCCTATCCTCCTGAGCTCAAGCACAAAAAATGTGCACTCAGGAGGATCCCAATAAATAATTGTTCAGTGAGTTAATGAAGAAAATATAGGTTAAATCCTCCAGTACTGGAAAGTTTTGGCTTCCTCCCTTGCATCCATCCTGTTTCACCCTCTCCCATCATGTAACAGCCATTGATTGGGTGGGGTTGACTCCACTCCTAGCTCCAGGAATGGATTTTGACTGCCTAAACCAATTGGTGAAATTCCACCTCTCTGTCTACAGTGATTGGTTCAGGCACAGACCTGGCACCATCAGAATGAAGCTCAGAACTGTTGCTCTATAGTTGGGCAAAGTTCTCCATCTTTATGGATCATGTGGTATGCAGATGTGATGACTGAAACTGTTTCAATCAATTTGCTAATGTGGGGGAAGCTAGCTCAAGGGTAAAGACAACTCTCAGATGGCATAGCATCACTCAGAATGGAGGTCAGAAGTCTGATCAAACCATGTTGAAGCCATGGCCACCTTGGGAGGGTACAGTCATTTGAGCCAGTATATTCTCTTTATGGCTTAAGCAAGGGAATAAGATTTTCTATTACTAATATGCCTCCTATCACTTTTTGAGTTCCCCTGTTTTTAAATTTTGGGGACACAAAATGAAATTTGTCTTCTTGCAACTTATTCATTCAGAGAAATAGCAGCACTTTTGAATATCATTTACTACTTCAGTAAGATTGTTATATTTTTGCTGCTTATGCTGATTCTAACAAAAGCCATGTTCGCAAGTGATAAAATAATAAATTTGAGAACTGTTTCTACCAAAATTTCTGTTCAAAACAATTAGTGTTCCTATGCACTTAGACAGTACTGATATGGGCTTTTTATTAATTTATATATCAAACATTTCCTGAACATTTAAATCCATCCTAATCATGTGTAGATGGGCATATAGTATACATAGGAACTTTACAAAAGATTAGTTTTTGTTTAACATGCCTCAGTGTTTCTGATAATATATTAAATGTACATACCTTTTCGATGAAACTGAAGAGACCCCAGTAGACATATGGATTTTAGCATCTCTGTTGTGTACATTTCTAAGCAGCACTGCAGCTGGATGTAAAGCCGACAGATTTCTGGATGGATCTCACCATCTTCCGGGCTGCAACAGAATGAAAGAGAAAAGCTGTGAATATTCCCAAGATTTTACTCATCAGCTATTTGTCTCAGTTCCGAGAGGGGAAAATGCTCAATAAAGATTCCTTAAAGTCTTGAGTCTAAAATATAATACTTCCTGCTTTCAAACCAATGACCAATGTGACAGTTCTTATATAAGTGTCTTTCTGACTAACAGTTCTTAATTTTTTCCCCTTTCAGCAGCAGGCTTCTGCTGGGAGCTTAGAATCATAAATGCTTTATGTAATTGAAAATATAGACATTTTCAATTTAGCTGTTGGAACAAATTTCCAAAATATATTCAAACCATAAGAGTCTCCTAGCCCGCAAGAGGAGATTAAAAACCCTCCTTTGTAGAGAAACTGACAAGAGCTATTCGATTTCAGGTTATAAGACAGTTCTTTAATATTAAGGCCCTAGCATAATATGATTAGAGAGTCAATTTACACATTATTTTTATCAAGGTTTTTTGTCTCTATTTAAAGGCTATTCCTATTGTTTGCTATGGCTAATTTATGAAAGGCCAAATGTTTTTAATGAAAAAATAAAAATTTTATGAAAACAGAAAAGTAATACAATTCTAGTAATTATGCCTAACAATCTAAAGCTAAAGTTAAACTTAAATAAACACTGAACTTATACTCTAAAATTTATTCTAAAGTCCTTGAGTCTTTATCTATTAAATATGCTAAAACATACATAAATGTGCATATGAGAAAACATGGAGTGATCACATTTGTGTTTTGATTAAGAGGAGAGAAACCAGTTGTCCATAAAATAATACTCTTTATTTAATATGCATCTAAAAGAGCATGTGTTGAATAAAGCAAACTAAATAAAGCAAAACTAATAAAGCAAACTAATAAAGCAAACTAAATGTGTTGATAAAGTTGAGAGATGGATTAGAAATGAAGGAAAGCCTAAAAGTGAACTTTGTCAAATGTCCTTTTGTGTTATCTTTACTTCTATCCCTATTTATTTAAAATGCAATGAAATCTGATTAAATAATGCAGCATTTGGATTTGATTGTTTTGTAAAGTGCATCAGTGACAAAATGTCAGGTGTAATTATCAGAAAAAAAGCAGTGGCTTTATATTTAAGTTCTGGAATCACAGTAAAAAGAATTTGCATATACACAGCATTTTACAGTGATAATTAGTTTTCATTTTCAATATTTATTTAGTAGATGAGCAAAAGTTTATTTAAAAGTTTAGGTAAGGGGCCGGCCCGGTGGTGCACTCGGTAGAGTGCGGCGCTTGGGAGTACGGCGGCGCTCCCGCCGAGGGTTCGGATCCCATATAGAGACCGGTCCACTCACTGGCTGAGTGAGGTGGGGGTGCAACACCGAGGGTTGCGATCCCATTGCCGGTCCTGGTCCGGTACGGGCGCGACACTGAGGGTTGCGATCCGTTGCCAGTCACGAAAAAAGACAAAAAGGAAAAAAAAAAAAAAAGAAACTCCATAGGCCAGAAGAAAATGGGATGACATATTCATAATACTAAGAGAAAATAACTGCCAGCCAAGAATACTATACCCAGTGAGGCTACTTCAAAAATGAGAGAAAAATAGTGTATTTTCCAGACAAACAAAAGCTACAGGAGTTTATCACCACATCTACAAGAAATCCCTTAGGAAATCCTGCATCTGGAATGCAAAATATGACAATCCCCATGAACACACAAGAAAGAATAAAACCCACTGGTTGAACAAAAATGCAAATGAGAAAAAGAAACTAAATTTTACCCCCACAAAAAACCATAGTGACAATGTAATAATGTCCTTATTTTATTTCTGATTTTTCTTGGTCTGTCTAGATAAAGGTTTGTAAAGTTTGTTGATCTTAAAGAATCAACTTTTGGTTTTGTTGATTTTCTCTATTGTTTTTTAATTCCTCATTCACATATTTCTGTTGTAATCTTTGTTATTTTCTACTTATATTTGCTTTTGGTTTAGTTTGCTTTACTTTTTCTTTTTTTAAGGCAGAAGTTTACATTACTGATTTGAGATTTTTCTTATTTTTAATATAGGTGTTTACAAGTATAAATTTTCCTCTAAGCACTATATGAGCCCCGAATCCTATAAATTTTGATATATTGTGCTTTGATCTCTACCTCAAAGTACTTTCTAATTTCCCTGTGATTTTTCTTTTTACCCATTGTTTGTTTAATTTCCTCACATTTGTGAGTTTTCTAAATTTCTTTCTGTTATTGTGGTCAGAGAACATATTTTGTATGATCTTAGTCTTTTTTAAAATTTAAACAAACAAAAAGTTCAGGGAAAGATTTCCATTACCTTTCAATTCTATTTTTTCACGAACTTTTTGAAGTGGCTCTGTGTTTATATTCTTTTATTGATTTTTCATGCAATTTATGTTGCTAAACTGAGATATTTCATTTCTGTTCTTTGTTTCTTTTTATTAAGTGGAGTAGTTGATTTGCTTAGAAATTAATTTGCTCTTGAAAAGTTTATTCATCTTCCTCTGTTGAAATTAATTGATATTTGCATGCTTTTTGAAGACTTAGAGCTATTTCAAATAATTGTAAAGATTATAAAATGAAATATGTAAATTTTAATAAGTTTTACATCTCCAGTTTTTGTGAAAATTTGAAGCCCTATTTTCTGCAGAATATTTGTTATTCATCTGTTATTCAGTTTATGTATTTGTTATTTGAACAAATAAATGTGCATAAAAAATTTGTTGTATGTATTGTACATTTTATGAGTGGGACAACTAGCCAGTACAGTATCATTGCAATCCATGGAGTATTTTTACTTTCAGAAGTACAAAATAGTGGCTTCATTCCAAAATACACAAACTTAACATAGAGATGAAATTTTATGTAATCTAAAGAAATGACTACTGTATTAACATATATTAAGAGCCAGTATATTTTGTTTATTATTTTATTGCTAGAAAGAGAGAGATAAAGCAATGTATTAAGTGCTTCTAAAAAAAAGGCAAGTCAGAAGAGAGATTAAAATGCCTAATTTAAAATATTTCCTTGGGTGCCATCTCCCAAACGCTTCTGTAACTCATGGCAATTTTAGACACTGTGGAACCACTGCACCCCTCATAAATGCTATGGGAAGGAAATGGATAGATGTCACCAGAAGTACAATATGCTTAACAAAAATTAATTGATGCCAACATTGCATTATACATTTTCTGGTTTAAAAACTCATATATGTACCCATATATTATCCTTTCATATCTTGGAAAATTGAAGTAAATGGAAAGAAAGAACTAGTTAAAGAACACTGGAAAAGCTAACATATCTTTCATGTTAGTGTTTCACAATGCCTAGACCAGGTTACATTAACCTTAGGGCCTGCATAATCTATTTCTCCCACTTTAGAGCTCTAAGATATATTACTGTTATTGATTATTAAAAGTTCATTAAAAATTGTCCAAGGGGTTCTATTATGTCTAACAATATAAGCAGTGGACTGAAATTTTGAGAAGTGTTAGTGCATTTGTGTAATTTTCATAAAATATGAGCAGGAGTTGGTGCATGGAGAATGGAGGAAAAGCCAAGAAAACAGCAATTTAAAAGCTTGAAACTTCTTGGTAATAAATTCAAAACTTAAAGAAAGATTTAAGTTAAAATAAAATTAGACCTGTGGACTTCCTCCCGGAACTGGGAGCAACTTAACTTGGAGATAACTTCATGGTATATTACCTATGCTTAGCCTACAATGATTCATTCTTGTTCAAGTTTAGGTCTATGAGAGTAACTCCTCAGGTAAAGCTCATTTAATTCAGTCAAAGAGATTTTATGAGTTAGTGACTATGTTGTGATTACTTATTTTTTTCTATTGAGCATAAGTCAAGTGCTAACCTATCATTTTGATTAATTTCAAAGCCTTAGAATTAATAGAAAAAAATACTAAAAATGAACTTCAACAGAATTTCAGTGATTTAGAGATCAAGTTGAATTAAAAAGAAAAAAAAAAAACATTTAACATAACCACCAAGTTATGAATCTGTTTCCAATCAGGACTTAATGACTTAACCATATAGCTTAAGAAACCTGAACCACCATAGTAATAGGAGGACATGAATATCTGTATATTGCCTAAGTCACCTCTTGATAATGGAAACTCTCTGTGCTGTAAATATTTCTACTTTGTAATTTTAAAAATGACACGATGAAGACCTGTTGGAATGGCTAAAATTAGAGAGACTGATAACATCAAATGTTGGTGATGATGTGGAGCAACAGAAACTCTCATACATGGTGGTAGTTAAAATGTTGTAACTCCGGCTGGCTGGTTAGCTCAGTTGGTTAAAGTCAAGCCTTATAACACCAAGGTCATGAGTTTGGATCCCCATATCAGCAAGCCACAAACAAACAAACAAACAAACAAACAAACAAAAAACCAGGATTATATGTTACAATTCCTTTGAAAGAAAGTTCTAGAAGTTTCTTATAAAACTAAACACATACCTATCCTATGACTTGGCAATTTCATTTCTAGGTATTTGCCCAAGAGAGATGAAAACATATTCACAAATAGATCTCCTACAACAGTGTTCATAATATTCATTTAGAATAATCAAAAACTGAAAACATATCAAGAAGAAAATGGAAAGAAATTAATATATTCCCACAATAGAATAATACTCAACATCAACAAGGAGCAAACTGCTTATACTCAGAACAACACAGATGTATCACAAAAACATTATCTTGAGTGAGACAATCCTCACATAAAAGAATATATACCGTATGACTCCATTCAGATGAAGTTCTAGAACAGGTAAAACTGATTGATGGTGAAAAATATGAGAGAAGTGGTGAACTGGGATGAGAGTCATGGTCTATATCTAGATGGAGGTTTGAGTTATGTGGGTGTATACATTTGACAAAACTCATTGAATGGTACACTTAAGATTTGTGCATTTGATTATATGCAAATTTTACTTAAAAAAGTAACTACATGTAAATATTGAACTCTAGTGGATGATTATGCATGCTGAGTTGT